CTCATCTCTCACTCTCAGCCGTTGGATACGCCTCTCCACCAATCCACGTGGTACATTTTCTTTTTTTTTTTCTTTTTTAATCTTAATGTTACCAGCCGCAATTTTACCCACGTTTTGTTAACAGCATTAATTTAGATTTTGTATGTATATTAGATGACTACAATACCAATAAATATACAATATTAGAAATGAAAATAAATAAATAAATTCAAGGAATATAGATATTTTGTTCGGTTACCTTATATTACTTTTTAGCTGTAGTATCCATGTTTTTTTTTTCTTAAATTTGATTTTCCACCTGACACCATTTCAAGTTTTATACTATATTTTATACCTAGATCATCATATTTTTCCAACAAAATTTTTTAAAATTATTTATACCATATTAATCGTTATTTTGTTTATGCACGACTATATTTATTTGTGTATTTTATGGAATTAATTATTAAAACACAAATAATATTTTAAAAACCATTTCTATATACAAATATATATATATTTAAACTTTTCTTTTATGATGTTCAAGTAAAAAAAATGATTAAGACATTTGTTTGTATTCTCACTAGTCTTGTACACTAATACCATTTGTAATAGTCCAAGTCCACTATTAACATATATGATTTGTTTTAGCTTAACTTCAGCTTAATAATGTTAAAACACATTTGTTGGGGAGAGATTTCTATATCTAGTTTGTTCTAGATAGGTAAATCAAATCCTATTAAGACTGACAAAACAATGACCTAAAAAGCATAAATTCAAAATCCCAACAAATATTGAGATGTGGTTTTGTAGGAAACTAGGGGTGCTGATGCAGTTAACCTTTTTGACATGCTTTTCATTTAATAAATATTAATCAAATATTATATACCCAACAAATATTGAGATCTAATTCCTCCGGATTTATTATTATTATTTTTTTTTTTAATAATTATTTTTCTACTTTGGTACCGTAGTCAGATCTAAGAAAAATAATGTTTAATATTAATCAAATATTTATTTAAATAGTGAAATTTAATAATTTAAATAATTTACACAGGTATGGATCCATGAGGAGAGGCCCATGATTTTATCCAGACGATTAAGCTCAAACATACTGTAAGGCCCATAATGTTGGCCCATTGGACGCCAACCAGAAAATTCCCCACAAACGCGGAGTTTCCGTGCTCCCTTTTCAGTTCACGGCCAACAACACAACTCTTGCAAATCATCCCGTCGAAGTTTCGAGTTAAAACAGTATTTTCCCGCCAGCGTCACCGCCAACTTCATCCGTTCGAGTTCATTGTCGCATCGTCTTCACCATGAAGAAGAGAGAATACCTTCTTCTCCCTCTGTGAAACTGGTAGGGGCAGCAGATGGAATCTCAGAAACGAAATCTCAGAGTTCGAAAACCGCTCGCGGATTGTACGAATACCGTACTCTCTTCGCAATCGTCGGCTTCGAACTTATCTGCTGCAATCAAACCTCGCAAACGTGTAGTTAAACCAGCGGTTAAGGATGTTGTCAACAATGAGAAGGAAGGTGTATCAAGTTTTGCGTCTGCATCTACATCCGTTAATTTGCAAGCTTCGAACCCTAGTTCTGATTTTCTTCCTACACAACCTAGCTCTAATCTTCCTCCTGCGGAATCAACCCCTACTTCTGATTCTCTTCCTACTGAACCTAGTTCCAGTAGTCTTCCTGCAGAAGTCTCCACTCCTTCCCGGCTTGTTGATTTGCCATCTAGTTCGGGTAATTTTACTTTATGGTATTCATTGCTTTGATTTGATTTGATTTTGGTGTTTGGTCCTTAATGATTTTAGTTTGAATTACTGATTCTCTAAGCTTCTGTAACTGTTACTCCCTATTTGTTTAAAATAGGAATTCAGGAAATACTACTTTGTAATTTAAGGAGTACAAGTAAGGTTGGGGATTGTTAAGAATTTTAAGTTGGAGGGATTTCTTGTTATTGTGTTAAGTTCTTCTGCGGAGTTGGAATTTCTGCCTGTGGGAGACTATTCTTCTGTATGTATGATATATGAAATAAGAACTTCAATATGGGAATTTTTTTTCTCTTCAATTTTTCCATTGTTTGACTCTGGATTTACGTTACATTTTATATGTCAGGAACAGATCGTGTTCCGGAGCCCCAGTCATTCTACAGTCGAAGGCACCCTGCGAATAGAAGGAAGAGCACGGAGACAGCCGCTGCACCATTTGTTTTTTCTACTGCATCGAAAATTCTAACTCGGTAAATCTCTTTGCACTTTTCAATCTCTGATACGCTTAATAGATTGAACTTCTGAAATCAGTGTGATTTAGTCGTTGGTTCAGAATACCGAATGAAAGTTTACCATGTTATTTATGTGACTAATGGCATTCATTCAATGGTTCTGAAGTTTCAAAGGAGCAGTTTTCCTTCTCTGCAATAGTTATCAGGCCTGTCCATGCCCCGTCTTTTGGTAAAATTAAACAGTTATCTATCCTGGTTTATGCGTTGCTTTGATTCTTGAAGTAAAATTTAACTGTTTAAGCAATTACAATTCTGGTTGATCTTGGGTTACTCTGACTTTATCTACATTAAGGAAAAAATGGCACCCCCTAAATAAGGTTTTGTCAACCCATTTTCTGTTTTATTGTTGGTGATAGGTTGATTGAGCTTCAATTGTTTGACTGCTTTAGGATGAATAGCTTTAGTCTGTTGAGGCTTTCATCTTTCTAATCGAATGATTGTTTGGCTTCTTAATGGCCATTTTTTTTTTTAAATTTTATAATTAAATGGACAAAGATAAATTTAAGATAGTTGGTCATGAGTGATGATAATACCAATGCTACAATGTATCTGGAAAGATACGGGTTAATGGATACAAGAAATGTGTCTCCTAATCCCTCATTTTCAGTTTATTACTCATTCGGTTTAATTCCCTTGCTTTTATGCAGGGGTGAGAAAAGAGCTGCAGACAGTAGCCCATCCAGAGCGAGGACTGTTCCTTATAGAAAGGTCCGTCTAAAAATTATAGCACTCACAATTCTTTTAATCTGTCAAACTATACTCAGGGCATACTTCTATCCTTGTCTTATTACTCTTTAGTTAGAAAATTTTGTGTCCTGACATTTCTCTAAGAAATATGATTTTATCTGTGCTTATCTATACCATAACTGATGATCTCTGTTCCCTATTAATTGGTACCATTGTATGAACGGTACTCATAGTCATGGTTTATATTTTTAGGAAGCGAATTCTCCCTTTTACCCTTATTTGCATGAACTCTAGTAATTGGAGGTTTAGCAATCTTCTAGGAGATTATTAATTGATTAGAGACTGACTTCCGGTTCTTCGTATAGATTATTATTTACTTGGAACGACACAGCTGACAATGCCCTCATTTCAGTCTTAGCCATTAAATTCACTGCTCCTCAGTTTTGGTAGCCTTACTTTTACTAATATTATGACATAATGTTATCAATCAGGTAGTAAGAATCTGAAATCATAGTTCAACTAATTGTAGTAATGAGCGCTTATTATTATTATGGGCAGAGGCAGCGTGGCACGATATATGGGGAAGATGAATCCAAGATTGAGCTTCCACGGGAATTTGTTGAGAAGCAGAAAGCATACTTTTCAGAAGTAGATGCATTTGAACTGCTAGTGGAGGAGGCTAAATCATCCGATTCAGAGTAGACTGGTATATAGTTTGGAGAAGCATAGGCAATGTAATAATTCTAGTAGTGTGTATGGTGTGAAGCTGTAAAGTTCATTAGACTCATAGAAACGGCTTGGTCAACTCGTCATTCAATGCAGGTGCTGTTTTCTTCCCCAACTCCTTAGCATATGTTAGCTTTTTGCGAGTTTACGATATCTGAATTGGACTATCGATCGAGTGTATATGCTTTAATAAGTATGATAGGGTTGCTGGTCGCCGTCAGTTTTATTTTTCTGTCACCTCAATTCCATATACTTCAGGTAATCTTTCAACTTAATGTCAAACGGAATGGAAAAGAATGATGATGGGCAGGGAATAGATGGTCGAAGTAAGACGAAAATGTTGGATTGGGATGGGGCTAAATTCAGGGGCAGTAGTACTGATGATGGGCAGGGAATAGATGGAGGAGGACGACGGAGAAAAGGGGGGGTGGGGGGCGGCTGTGGAAATCAAATTGATGTGTGAAGAGGAAGAGGAAGAGGGAGAAGGAGAAGGGATTATATTTCTCTATGTCTGTACTTCAGAATCTCAGTTCTAATAGCAGTGAGCTCAGCTTGTACTTGGTGTTGGAAGAGAGCTGAAATGGCGCCCATGCAGCCATAGACAAGATCTCTCGGCCTCAGATTGGCTTCATAAACTAGGCTGTCTGCGGCGTCGCCCCTTTCGCTCTCCGCTACCTCCTATAATATGATTGTCAAATCATTCAGCATAAGTCACCGTAAGAACGAATAAAAGTTAGATAATTTGGGCTCTTGCCATGAGCATCTTAGCGACGTTGCTGGCACCAAGAAACAGTGGGCTCGCTAGGCGCAAACCGATTGCACGTGTGAAATCAACCGCTAGAACCTAGCCCAAGATTTAGCTAATTGGGTTCAACTAAGACTAATCGGGCTCATATCGACCCAATGAGCCTAGCCCACCTTGGGTCTATTCGGGCCATGTGAATTGGGCTTTCCCATATTTGGGATACGTAATAAATAAGTAAATTCATTTATTTAATAACTTTTTTTTTTCCAAAATAAATTAAATATATAATTTTAAAAATTATTATTGATTTATTATAATTACATAATTAATTAAAATAATTTTATAATTTATGATCGATTAATTAATTAAGTTTTTTTTTTAATCCACAAAATTTGATACATCCCGCCGCCGCGCGCTAGAAATTTCATCTCGCAATTCATTCACATTAAAAAGCACAATCCGCGAACCTTTCACGCGGATCGACCTTTCTGACCGTCGATTCATCACAAAATCCAACGACGGCCGCGCATCCAATTGGAGATTGGCTCTACTATAAATTCAAACCCAATCTCCTATTCCTTCAACCAACTCAAAACCTCCATTTAGTTGTATCGCATTCACATTTAATTCATCTTCGAAAATGTCTGGCCGTGGAAAAGGAGGCAAGGGTTTAGGGAAAGGGGGAGCTAAGCGTCACAGGAAGGTCTTGAGAGATAATATTCAAGGTATTACGAAGCCTGCTATTCGCCGTTTGGCTCGTAGAGGCGGTGTGAAGCGTATCAGTGGTTTGATTTATGAAGAAACCAGAGGTGTTTTGAAGATCTTCCTCGAGAATGTTATTCGTGATGCTGTTACCTACACAGAGCACGCCAGAAGGAAGACCGTCACCGCTATGGATGTGGTGTATGCCTTGAAAAGGCAGGGAAGGACTTTGTATGGTTTCGGAGGTTAGGTTATAGATTGACTACACGGAAGGTCTTAGATCGCGTCTTTAGATCTGGTTCCTTTTTAGTTTTCTCATTGTTGTTTCTTATTTGGAACTTCTGTAACTTAATCTCGGTTATTTAGAAATGGTAATGCTACTCGATTCATGAATTATGTTCCTTCTGAGATGTTCGTCGAGATCTGGAAATAGGACGAGTCGTTTTTTTTCTAGCCTAGAAACTTGGGACCTACTGCTAATCGGAGAAAATTATGCTTGAGCTTATGAACCACTTTTGAAATCTGTTTCTAAAATTGTGGATTGACTTGGTCTCCCTGTAGGTGTGGTGGCAAACATTCAAACGATTAACAACAAGGATTAGCAGCCACAAATTTTAATTGCGTATTCTTCGATAGATGAAGCCTGTAACTGTTAATTTAAAGAATCTGGAAAACTTGAATACTGTAAATTAGTCGCTTTGAAATTGATTGGCCTTTTTCGCTTCCCGCTTCTCGGTGTCTTGAGGAGAAATTTTGACGAATTTCAAAAGCACAATCCACGATTGCTTCACGCGGATAAATATTATTGACCGTCTGATTTAACATACCATCCAACGAGCGACATGACTTCCCGCTTAAACAACTTCTTTGCCGTATCGTCGAGTTTACACCCGTATGAAAAAAAATCCTCACGGAAGCCGTAACTATTAATTAATATCTTTTTGAGTGTCTTTTTTTATTTTGTTTCATTTTGTTTGATTGTTTCAATTTTTCTTATCACGAAATTTAATGATTTGAATGATTAGCAAGCATAATTTGCACTAAATGTTCGTATACTAATATAAAACATTTCATGATACAACTTTTGGAGGACGAAATTCAAATTTATAAATGTGAAAGAAAACAAATTAAATTAAATCAACTACAAACCATAAGTAGCAAAACGTTAATTTCTCCCTAAAAAGAGTGATTTAACTAAAATTGTACAAGAATTAAAGTCATTATTACGGGCAGTTAATAGAAAATGAAGAAAGAAATCCAATAACGAGGATGGTCGAGGAATTTCAACTCAATTTAATTAAATGCACATTAATCATTATATATATGTTGAATGTTTATATATTATGTATCTTCCAAAACAAAAATGTAATAAATTTGGATTTCACAATTTGAACTAGAGATCGTTCACTTGTAGATTAAAAAAGAGGAGTTTGCATGTTAGACGAACACGATTCTCCACAATGGTATGATATTATCCACTTTGAGCATAAGCTCTCATGGCTTTGCTTTGGGCTTTCCAAAAGGTCTCATACCAATGGAGAGTGTATTCTTAGATTATAAACCCATGACCATTCCCTAAATTAACCGATGTGGGACTTTCATCATCCAACACTGCACGTAATTAAAAAAGAGCCTCCATAAACTCGTTGGTAGATTAAATGAACATCTATCATTTGAATAAGCCATAAATGTTTTTTCCTTCTAAAATCTGTGGCCATTAATTTCTGAGTAAGAAATGAATAAAAGGAAGCGAAAATAAATATGTAATTATTTCAAATGAATAAGGATAAATATTGTGGATTCTACCCTTCTTTCATCATAGCTTCTTTGTAGTTCTCAACATTAATTTCTCATCATCCTGCAACTGCACGGCAGCCCCTGACTTCAGTTTTTATTAGCCTGCATTTCAGTTCTTATTCTCATTACTTTCTCCGACTTGGTTTCCTGTCCCTACCCGTCCCCAATCGATTCGAGCTTAGTGTTCGATATTTTAGTTACTCTATTTCATCTTTAGAATTGAAATGCTACGACACTATTATAAAACCAAATTATTACATAGGATTTGTTGTTGGAAGAAAGAGCTCCACATCGACTAATCAAGTAATTGATCATGATTTATAAGTAACGAACATTATCTCTACTGGTACGGGAATATTGTAGTTGCTAATATGTTAATGTTTGGACATTGATTAATTATTACCTATGAGAGTCAAAAATGAAAATATTAGCTTGAATCATGAGATATGGCATTCAACTTGTGTTCATACAATATAGCATTTCACTCCACACACACACACAATGAGAGATGAAGAGCTTATGTTTACTAATTAACAGTACCTCGTGTTGTAGATCCATGCCCAACAATGGTCAACAAAGCATTCTTCACGCTCACTAACTGGTAGCAACCTCCCAAAAATGATCCCCTACCTGAACAAACACCATACCCCAATGTTGACGTCGGAGAATTGGAGCTCCCCACCGCTTCCTCCCCGTTGTTGTTGTCGTCGTTGTCGTTGAAGTTATACTCCAACGGCAAGCTCTGAGCATCCAACGAGTGGCGATGACGACGCTTGAAGAATTTCGGTCTAACGAACGGCGACGGTGAGGAACACGAGGACGAGGAAGAGGCGGAGAAGGATGACAAAGTTCGCCGGGGAAAAATAGAGCTCAAAAGGGTTGGTTTGGAAGAGGCCTTGGAGGTAGAATGTGAAGCGGAAGAATAGTAAGACGGCGGCGGCGTAAGAGGAGGGATTGAAGTTTCTGAGAAAGTATGCTTTGGAGTTCCGGGACGGGACTCCCATCTGAACGGAATTGCACCGGCAGCGCCGCCGTAATACACTCTAAAAGAGGAGTTAGCGGCGGAATTAGCCTCTTTTGACAGTGCCCTCGACAACAATCTATTATCTTCATGCTTGATTTTGAGTGATTTTTGAGAGATTTGGTCGTCGTTTCGAGTTTGCATCGTTAAAGAGATCTGAGCTTTGTTGTTGCAGAGATGTGAGAGATTTCAAGATCCAATTCTCATTATTATATCCAATTTACTTACTGTATAATAAGCCTTGAAGTTGACACACATCAACGTTGATATCAGGCTTTTGTCTTTAGGGGAACCGGCTTAGTAACATTAATATTTGTTTACTAAATTAATTAAAGGGGTGAATATTAATTATGAGTTTTCTTGGGGTGAATATGTGAGTAAAGAATTTAATAAGGGCAGAGAAGATGGGGCCATTTGCAAACGAAGAAATTAAAGAGGGCATGGTGGCAACACAGCTGTGGAAGAGAGCGGATTATTAAAGATGGTCTAATATTTTAAATATTGCGTCCATTTTTAAAAAATTGTTTAATTTAACTCTAAATGTAATTATCGAATATTTTATTTGAGTTAATTCGAATGTTGGAGGTTTAAATGTTAATTAAATATGTATGCTCATTTGTTGGCATTAATGGTATGGAATTGTAAAAAATGGTAAAATTAAATGTGATGAAAGATTCATAAGGCTTTAAAAACAATACGGTGGTCCACATATAGGTAGATAACAACATTAATGTGTAACAATTATTAGATCGAATGCATTAAAGAATATCCATCCGAATGCTCTAATTAAATTAAAGCTCATTTTTTACCCACCAATAAATTTTTCCGTTTTGCAAAAAATTAAATAATATTATATAAGGTCGGTGGATGAATGTTCAATATAATGAAAGCTCAAATATTTTTGGAACGACAAAAATGTTTTTGTCACGAAAAAAATACTTCTAAAATGATCTGGTTTCGTGTCATTTGTGCCATTTTCAAAATAGTTTAGGTAAAAATATATTTAATGCAATTTATTTCCTGCGAAAATAATTAGTTGATATTATTAGTGTTTTTTTTTTTTTTTTTTACTAATTTGCGGTTAAAAATAAAAAAAATTAAAAGAAAAAGGAAATTGGTTGGTTGAGAAAAAGCTAAAAGGGGTGCACTCGCCACAATCATGCTCTTATGGCCTTTTTATTTCCTTTATTTTATTTTGTTTTGTTTTTTTTTTATAATCATTTTAATTAAAAACAATAATATATATATAAATATATATCCAAATTCATCAATTTATTTTCTCCTTCCTACCATGGCCACTGCTTTTGCCCCCAAACCTGCAATTACTCGAATCATTAGCCACTTTTGATATAATTAAAAATATCCTAATTTACGGTTTAAAAAAAATCATAATTTATTAACTTAAATTATAAAATAATTCAATATTTCAAATTCGTACCATTTAAAATATTTAAAATAATTCATCCTTTATAATTTATTTTAAATTATTTTATTAGTTGTTGAATAATTAATTCATTAACTAATGGATTTAGAAAAGCAAATATGGCACATGCCACTTTATTTTCCCTTTTTTCATAATTGTTTTCTTTAAAAATAAGTAATCCATTATTAATTATAATTATCACTATTCTTTGACTATTCTTACTTCCACAAATTAAAATCAGCCACGTGGACTTTATGCACTCGGAGTTGCAGAATCGGTCCCCACAGAACACCATCATCACTGCACCCATTACTCCTCCAGGACGCATTATAGTTTCTGATCATGGACTCGTCTCCTGAAAGTCCAACCCACATTCTCTTTAAATTCCCTTTCGCGCTGAACCAGAACCTGAACCAGACCCCCTTCTTCTTCCATGGCTGAACCACCAGACCCCACAGTACCTCGAACCCCTTGTATAGTCGAAACCAGACCCGAAATGGGCTCCGATTCCGACCCATTCGGGCTCGGACCCGCCGGAAGTGGCGCTTCGACTCCGCCGCCTGGGATTCGGCGAGTGAATTTCAGAGCTGTTATTGACACCAACCCGCCATTCGGGTCTGTCAAAGAGGCCGTCACTCGGTTCGGCGGAAGCGGCCCATGGATACCCTTTTGCAAGGTAAAGAACCACCAATGCCTTTGCTCCTTGGTATTTTTCTCCGTTTTTATGAGTTTCCTTCATTTTGCAGCGAGAATGTAGGGAGTTTCTAGAACTTCTGTAATGGGCTTTAATTTTTATCCTGTTTTTTTCATGTTTCTTTTATGTTTTGGACTTGTCGTTTACTTTGAAGTTTGAATTCTCTGTCAATTCAAGGATATATATGAAATGGTTTTAGATAATGATCTTACACCAATTGATTTCTAATTCAAGATGAACTATTAATGATAAAGCAGCAAGGAATTGAGGGGTTTGATATTAAGAGAATGGAGGAACAAACAGCAGAATTGGAGAAGGATCTGATTGTGAAAGAATTGGAAACACTTGATGTATTGGAAGAACTGGGTGCAACAAAAAAAATGGTGGAAGAATTGAAAAGGCAGCTGCGGAGTGAAGCATTGAAATGCTTTCCATCCCCAAATTTCAAGGAAAGTTTTGGTGATAT